GGGATTATATAACCAGACTCTCTGCCCCTCCTGAAAAAGAACTTGCCTAACTCCACGATCGTATCGAGCCTTCATTCGAGAAGATTTCATATTCATCTGCCTCCGTGCGGCGGAATGAATTTCTTCCAATTTCCCCTTCAGATTCCTGACAAAATTTCTAACCAGAGGAGGCTCCTCTCCAAGAGACTTCGAAGGACTCCCCCGCAAGAGATCCGAAGGTAACCTGAGATCACGAGCGAAATATAATTCCGCAGGGGAAACTCCAGTTGTCTCATGTTTTGCAGATCTATATGCCAGGAGAAACATAGGGATCCATCGATCCCAATCTTTTTGATTTTCAGAGACATATTTCGCCAGATAATTGGTTATCGTTTGATGCTGACGTTCTACTTGCCCGTCTGACTGTGGATGTAAAGCAGTAGTCCTGGTCTTCCTTATGTCAAGTAGTCTCATCAACTCTGCGAAAAGCTTCAATTCAAAATTTTTCCCTTGGTCGGTATGAACCTCCAAAGGCACTCCATGTCTGGAAACAAACTGGCCTACGAAAATCTCCGCAACTGTTTTTGCTCTCATATTCCTTAATGCGAAAGCTTCCACCTATTTCGTAAAACAATCCACTACGATGAGAAGAAATCTGTTTCCGGATTTTGTTACCGGAAGAGGGCCTAGAATATCCATCTGAACTCTTTCTAACGGAGTTCCAACGTTATAAATTTGTAGAGGAGATTTTCCCTTCCCCGAGGGACCTTTTCTGGCAACACAGACTTTACATGTCTTGCACCAATCCTCTACGTCCTGCTTACAAGTAGCCCAAAAATAGCGTTTCCGAATCTTCTCCAAAGTCTTATTTACCCCAAAATGTCCTCCTGATGGGGAGTTATGCATTTCCTCTAAAATCCCTTTGACTAGTCTTCGAGGAACAATAAGCTGAAGAAAACTGGATTTAAGATTCGGAGCTTCCCACTTTCTGTAAAGTATTCCCTCTTTCAGGACTAAAGCATCCCAGTATGCCCAATAGACCTGAGCGGAAACGTCTTCCGCAGCAATCTCAGTGCGAGAAGGACGAACTCCAGCTTCCTTTCCACGAAGTATGATCGAGATGCTCGGATCTACTCTCTGCTCCTCTCGCCACTCTTTCAAATTTTCCGCCTCTAAAACGATGCGAGCGACTTCCTTTTTCGAACTTTCAGAACTCCTTCTCTCCACTTTAGCGCAATATTCACAGCCAAACGACTCGCAAGTCCGTCTTGACAATCCGTCAGCGTTTTTATGAGAAAGCCCTTTCCTGTAAGAAACAACAAATTGATATTGCTGGAGTCTCTCCAGCCAACGAGCCAACTGTCCATCTAAATCTTTAAAAGACATAAGCCATCGTAGAGAAACGTGATCCGTGCGGATCAAAAACTCACGTCCCAAAAGGTAATGGCGAAAAAATTTAATTGATGCTACAATCGCCAAAAGTTCTCGCCGAGTTACACAATAATTTCGCTCGGCTTTATTAAGAACACGACTAAAATATGCAATGACCTTCTCCTCCCCCTCCTGTTTTTGTGATAAAACCGCGCCAATTCCAATATTGGAGGCATCAGTGTCAAGAATAAATTCGCCCTCCTCCTTCGGAAAAGAAAGCATTGGAGGAGAGGACAGTACCCGCTTTAATTCATCAAAAGAGTTCTGATGAACCTTGTTCCAGATAAACTTAACCTGGTTCCCCGTTAATTCGTAAAGGGGTTTAGCAATCGAAGAAAATCCTTTTATAAACTTACGATAGTACGAACAAAATCCGAGAAAACTTTGCAATAAAGTTCTCGTGTGAGGAACCGGCCATCTCTCTACGGCAGCAACCTTTTCGGGGTCTGGGGCCCAATTCTGTACACGTTTACCGATGGTCGTCGGTGTCGTTAATAGCGTCGAGCGACACGTATCGATAAAAGCTATTCTGTACGCGTCCTAACGACGAACGCGTTTC